TAAAAAACGGTGAGCTAGCTCGCACTAACTCAACTTAGAGGGAACACTGGTCAGGGCCATACCCAGATGCCATGCTGGACCGGCTGGCGTTCTCCCATCGCGGGGTTCCCTCTTGCAGAACGCAAGCTTGTATCCAGCACAAGTTAAGCCCTTTTTAAAGCCAATCGACTTCAAAGGCAAACGGCGAAACTAAACTCTTTTAGGGGGCTTTTAAGGTACTTCATTCAGGCTGAATCACGCCCATTTTTAACTTCCAGGCGGGGCTAAAAAAAATAAAATCCTAAATGCAATGGACACCCTCCACTTCCTCGCCATCTCCTCCACAGCTGGTATAGTCCAGTCTCGAATTGTTAGGGTCAGGTCAAGTTCGTATCGGTTTCACGGGTCCTTCAGCCAAAACAGCAAACCAAAATGTCGCTAGTTTTGGAAGTGAAGCATCCCTTTCGAGTATAACTGTGCTTAGGTGGTTGTTGAAAAAGCCTCTGAATCAGTGTCCCCGCTAAGCTGAGTTAGCGTGAGCTGGCTCACTATTTTTTAGCCTCCGGCTCGCCCATTTTTTGTCCTAGCTCAGGAAGGATGGCTCCAGAGCAAACTGATTGATGCAGGAGCCAGATCGCTCGCTAGTCACGACTTTAATGCCAGGAGCTCACAAAGTAGATTTTTTGCTCACTGGACTCCACAGCTTAGAGGGAGCATGGCTCTGAATCTGGATGGAAGTGGAAAATCTGGATCAGAGCAGAAGCCTTTTACACTAGAGGGACTGGTGCAAACACATATGGTATACATTGGGACAGATGTGTACAACCATCATGTCATTTAATTAAAGGAGCTTGGAGAGAACCTAAAAGGGCATAGTACCAAAAGGTTTTCAGGTTCTAGCTGACCTTATGCAGGATCCATTCCCACAAGGCTACTTCAGCCTATCAGACCATGCAGGTGTAATCAGTTTAAGAATGAAACATGCCCAGCCCCCATGTAGAATAAGAACATCAGAAGAGCCCTGCTGGGTCAGACCAGTGGTCCCTCTAGTCCAGCATCCTTTCTCACACAGGGGCCAACCAGTTCCTCTGGAAGGCCAACAACAAGGCATAGAGGCCAAGGCCTTCCCTGATAAGAACCTAAGAAGAGCCCTGCTGGGTCAGACCAGTGGTCCCTCTAGTCCAGCATCCTGTCTCCCACAGGGGCCAACCAGTTCCTCTGGAGGGCCAACAACAGGGCAGAGAGGGGCCAAGGCCTTCCCTGATAAGAACCTAAGAGCCCTGCTGGATCAGACCAATGGTCCCTCTAGTCCAGCATCCTGTCTCATGCAGTGGCCAGCCGGTTCCTCTGGAGGGCCAACAACAGGGCATAGAGGCCGAGGCCTTCCCCTGATAAGAACATAAGAAGAGCCCTGCTGGGTCAGACCAGTGGTCCCTCTAGTCCA